AACTTGACAGCTTTAAGACTTGCATGCTTCAATGCCAGAGTTTCTGAATAGCTACTTGGACCAACTTAAGTACTAATTCATAATTTCATATCCGGTCACATGGGTGGCAAGCCACTCCCATAAAGGAGGCCACATCCACAGAGTAGGTTCCAACAATTTTTGAAACCCACCACTGCTGCTGGGTGATGCGTTGGCTCAGGAACTAAGACATTGAGCTTGTCGATTGGAAAGGTGGGCAGTTTGGCGGTTCAAATCCCTAACGCCGCATACTGGAGTGAACTCCCTTGACACTGTCCCAGCTTCTGCCAACCTAGCAGTTTGAAAGCACGTAAAAATGCAAGTAGAAAAATAGGAGCCACCTTTGGTGGAAAGTTTTATGTTTTTGTGGCAATTAATAACTGAGGAGGCAGAGGATGCAACTAACTGTTTATTAACTCTCAACGACACTAGTAAAACAGAACAGAGAACAAACCCCGCCTGACAGCTATTTATGCTGTCAGGCGGAGAACCAATGGGAGGGCTGTGTTTTTCCCACCAGCCGGCAGGCGCGCCTGAATCAATCAGGGCTTCTTCCTGGTTCTTCGGCGGCTGCCGGTCGAATGTTCAAGGACACAACAGGAAGGTAACAGCGTTCCGTGCGTCTTCGGCATTCTGCCAGCCACATGACCACGGAGACGTCTTCGGACAGCGCTGGCTCTTCGGCTTTGAAACGGAGATAAGCACTGCCCCCTGGAGTCGGGGATGACTAGCACATATGTGCGAGGGGAAACTTTACCTTACCTAATACTGCTGGGAACAACTGAATTTAGCCACAATTCCTGCTTTGTTTCTTACCTGAGCCCTACTTCAAAAGGAAAGAAAAGGGAAGAATGAAATGAATGGATCTGGATAACAAAAGAAACCAGGCTGAAAAGCAGCTTTTAAGAATATCTCAGCATGGAAGGAAGGCAGGGGGGAAACCCCACAAACATTTAAAGCATTAAAAATGGATTTAAAACGTTAAAAAGATGCTTTTAGGAAGAATGGGCTCAAACAGATCTCTCTCTCTCAAACACAGCGAGTTGCACAATGCTTCTATTATTAATCCCACCCACCCACTCACCCCCATTAAGACTTAAACAACCCCAAACTGTCCTTTTATTCGTTTCTTGGATACATTTATGTCTCACATTTTCACCAGGGGTTTTTATTCCCATAGCCACAAACCCCACAAAGTAGTCTAAGTGGGTTGAAAGAGGGAGAGACATCCAGTGAACTTAAGTGGAGGAGAGGGGATTTGAACTGTAGGAAGTTAGCAACCACCCTCTCCTAGAAAAATGGAATATTTTAGGAACTATTAAAAGGGAAGAATATTTCCCCCTAAAAGAGAGGCAGAAACCTACCCCCCCCCCAAAACCTTTGTCAATGAGCCAGTCTATTCTACATAACGAAGATCTACCTCCTTCAGGCAGAGCTATAATAGGAATCCCAAAGCCGTTTCATTACATCATCACCCAGCAAGAGTCAATCAAGCTTGGGACTCAGGACAGCCTACAAGGTTGCCCTGGCTTGGCCCCATGGGAGCCTGACAACCAATCAGAATACAAGCTCCAATTCAAAAGCCCAGAGAGGGCATAAAACCCAGGCATTCTCAGTATCTCTTCCCTTTTTTGCTTCGACCAAGATCTTGAAGCATGTGGTCCTGTCCACCATTAAAACCATCTTTCTAAGCAGCCACCATGTTTCCAGTGTCTTTTCCCCCACTTGGAACTGAACCCAGAAGGACATTTCTTCCAACAGAACCATGGAAAGCAAGAGGGTCCAGAAAAACAGAGAAAGCTTTGGAGAAGGAAGGGAACCCTGTTTTCCAGAGGTTTCCAAGCTAAATAAGGAATTTCCAGCAAGACAGCTGTATTGCTCCATTCAGAGAAGAATGAAGAATCTTTGTTGTTGTTAGTTGCGAAGCTGTGTCCGACCCATTGCGACCCCATGGACAACATTCCTCCAATCCTTCCTGTCCTCTACCATCCTCTGGAATCCATTTAAGCTCAC